AAAAATAAATGCTTTATACAGAAATCATTGTGTAAAAGTGGGAATGCATGCTGCATCACTTGCTAACTTCTGTAAAAGTATTACTGTCTGCTGATTTAAAGGAAAAAAACCACTCATCATTAAAGTCAGAACTGGCAGTGCACATTAAAATCATCCGATACTTGCTCTCATTAGTATTAAATTCCCATTTACTTTGACAGATTTCAACCATTTGGCAGAGATTACATACAATAGGTGTCTGCCATTAACTGAAGTTTTTGAAACTTCTCAGGCAAAATATTCTGTATTTTTGAGGGCAAATCTAGAGGATAAAAATTTATTGTTTTGCCGTAATAACAAAAATGGGAATTTTATGTCTAGCTTTGGACTAGTCACTTGAAATTTTGCTGGCAAATAGAAGAATGTTTTATGTGCAATTTATGTTGGTCCCATAAAATCTGACAAAATTTGTCTAAGGTAAAGCCTTGGAAAAATGGCAAACTGTGTCTCCCGGACTAAATTTCAAAAGGTTTCTGTCCACACTTACTGAAAGGATCAGCTGAATTTGCATGTTCTGTGGCTGCACCTCTGGGACAAGCCAAGACTTTCCTCTCTAATCAAAAACAGGAAGTTCTTTTTGTTTTTCTTTAATTAGGGATGGAAAAAGGAGGCTGTAGGCTTTTAGAAAACCAATAGTTTGGTTGCAAAGCTAAACACCCAGAAATGAGAAAGTACTAGAGTATAAATCCCCTCTGGTACCTTTTTTTATCTTATCTGAGGAAGGAGTGGGAGGTGATTCCAGTTCAGATGATAGAGCAATGGTTGCACATCCTGCACAGTCCCCTACCCCATTTCATCCATTTCTGGCGTTATGATGGACCTTAATCACACATTCACACTGTGTGTTGGGTGAGACCCTTCCTCAGGGTACAAGATGTCCTAGCTCTGGGAAAGAATCATCACTAAGGCACATAGGAGACTGCTGTCTTTGGACCACTGCTCTTATTTGTTCAAAAGCTGAGAAGCATAAGGTGACTGAGGCTGGCAATTCATAGGGAGAGAAACAAGAGCTCTCATGTGAATGTTTTCACAGAAAAATAGATTTTATCTCTCCATCTACTGCATAGTTTCTTTGTGGTGCTGCCCAAGCCATTTAAATTGAACTTTTCACAGAGGTCACTAAACGCATATTCTTTGTTCTCTGGGTATTTGACTTGAGACCTGAGGTCTGACTACCATGGGAGCTGAACACCTACAGCTGCAGCTGATGTCAATAGCATCTGTCCTCTGAATCTGTTAGGAGTTATTCAGAGCTAAGTATATGTAAAGCAGGAACTCAGATGTAAAGAAACAGAATAGCAGGTTTTGAATGTTTAGACATTCATAAGTTGGGGTTAGATTTAGATTTAGGATGAGGTTTCCATGAGCAGAAGAGCAGAGGTAAGGTCTGGGCTCTGTACTAATTTGGGGACTGGTGCTAGCAAAGGGCCACTTAGATACTTCCATATAAGAAGCTGTGGAGGTAAAAATCATAGTAGCAGCTTTAAAGGACATTCAAAAGATTTCGATTAGGCAGAAAAGAGCCTGTTTACACACCACACAGGAATGTAAAGAGTGCCAGGAGCAGAGGGCACAGCTCTGAGCGCTTCCCACCACAGAAGTGGTTTTCACCCCCAGGAAGGGTACAGCTTCACTTGGTGTCTGTCCACTTCCCACAGTTGCCTGCACTTCTTCCAGCAGAGCCTCACCACCCCAACCTGCCCAACTGCCATACACCTCATTCTCCCCTCTGGAGTTGGAGAGGATGGCTTTGAACACCGTAGAATCTCCAGGCATTTGCATATTTTGTCAGGCAACAAGGTCTGTTCCACTTCATCTGATCCTAGTATCACCTTGAGAGCAGCATAAGTAGTCAAAAAAAAAAAAAAAAAAAAAAGTCTTACTTTCCTAAACCTCCTACTCAAAGCATATATACTTGTATTATGAGCTATCAGACAGGGTGATTTTTTTTTTAACTTATCCCTTTTTGTTAGAAGCCAAACTCAATGGATACTGAAATAAATAGTCACAGTCTTCGAGTTTGTTTTCTTCTGTCATTCTCTTGAAAGAATCCTCCCTCAATCCACAGTCACATCCAATGCTAAGCAAAATCAAAGGCACTTACTCATACCAGTTTTGGGGTATCATGTTTGGGTTTGTGGATGAGTTTTGAAAAAAAAAAAAAATCTTTACAGAAAATGAAAACCCCATGGTGCAAAATTTGTCAGCATTTCAAAGAGTTCACACAGCCCTCTGAAAATGTGTGTTAATTACACAATAGATTTGAACATTCATGGAGGTTAGTGCTTCCTCACAATTTATCTACCAAATAAATAATCTTTTCCCAAGTTTCACTTTTGATTCACCCAACCAAAGAATGCCTAAACCAATTTGATGGTTTTCAATCAGTTCTGCAACACAACAAAATAGTGAATTATCAATATTTGGGTGAATTCTCAAAAATGGTGATGTTAAAATCTGTGTTCAGAATTACTCAAATAGCTAGCACACCTGTTAAAATTAAAATATGATTTTAAATAATACAACCAAAGGATATATCACTACTATTCTTCCATGAAGGATAAATGTTGCGTAGTTAGATCCAGACAAATGAATCAAGACAAGCAAAAAAAAAAAAAAAAAAAAAAAAAAAGTATTATTGGAGGGGTGGAGACATTTCATCTGCTCTTGCAGCTTATTATATACTTGACTGAGATCTCTCTTGCCAAACTTTATCAATGTCAAAAGTACAAAAAATAATTATAAAGTCTAATGAAACATATGGATCATGTTACCATTTGTAAACAGGCACTGATCCTGAAGCCACTTCCGTCTGACCTGATAAACAAATCCCCTAGAAAGAAATCTACAAGAAGAAAAACTAGTTCCCCATTCTAACATTCAGTGAGGAGGCTTTAAAAGAAAACACTGCTGCTAAGCCTACTATCTGTCAATCAAGCAGCTGTTGAAAATTAGACTTAATTGCATATGAAAAGGATATGACATTCTGGAAGTCAGTAAAACTTCACCTGGCTACCCCGGTAAGTTTAACCATGTACATTAATTTTTCTGCATGTGTGTGGTGTATTTCTGTACTTTTTTAAACAATGTATTTTCTTTACAAATATTTTGCTGCTGAGAGATTCTACTCATAAAAGTAACTCATAAGTACTAATAAAGAAACTCAGAAGTTTCAACTTATTTTAAACAAAAAGCTTAGTAAACTGAAAAGAAAAAAAAAAACATTTTTAATATAAGACTTCCATGAAAAGATGTCTGTAATGTTTTTTATTCCTGCAACAGAATTCTATTTGCATTAATATCTGGAAGTTCCATGCTGAGTTGCAAAATAGATTATCAAAAAAAACCCAAAACATTAAAAAAAAAAAGAGTAAAGAGGATGTCTGGCCAAACAATAATAAGTCTTTTTATTCCATTATGTAGCTTAGATGTGACTGCACTTCACAAAATAAAAGTATTGAAAGATTAAAAAGCAATGACAGCAAATCTCACAGCAACGGTATACAGTCATATCTTTGCTCAGAAGTGGAAAATAGTAATAATTTCTCATTACTGTCATTCATTATATATCTTGAATGTGATTTTTAGTTCTTGTCCATTTTAATAAGTTTATGTGTTAATTAGCTTTTATCTGTTAAAAAGGAATGAATTGGTGCTAATATATTTGTGGCTATTCACTGTAGTTGTGAAAGAAGCCAGTTCCGTCATAAAGATGTGCCTTTTCTTCCTGTAAACATCTGAATGATTGTCTTCTAATGGCTGAAGAGTTTGTAAAAAGCCATACTTTGAAATAGCAAACTTGAGGAAATAATTTGTTTCTAATCACTTTATAAATCCATGTGATGGGACTATACAATTAGACAAAAATCACATTCAATGTGTGATATTCAATAGCTCAAGAAAAAAGTCAACATATGTTTGAATAAACTCATTATAATAAATAAAAGTGCTCAAATAAGCCAGCAATCATGAACAGTTTTAAGATTCCTCTAAGCAAATAAAGAAACTGAATTAACTAAGAGGTTGAAGAGGCTGAATTCATAATCTTCTGATATAACTTGAAATGCCAGTCCAGCTTTAGAGAGACTAGTCATCAAAATACCTTAGGATAGACCTTCATGAATCACAGAACATACAATTATTTACTGATCAATCAAAAGTTACTTTGATAAATTATCTTCAGTATTTGATTACAACATATATAATATTCACTGTAAAATACTTTTCCTTCTGAAAAGAAAAGCAAAAGTGATTAGACTCACCTTACATAAATGTTAAATTGTATTTGCTTAAGCATTCAGTAAGTAATTAGTATTTGTATATGAACAAATTTGCAAGAAGTTGGAGTCCTAAGAGCTAGTGACTTCATTTTTATCCCATGTACAGCAGTGCCACAATCTCACTTATTGATGGAGGAGTGGCAACAGGAAATTAGGCGTCTGAAGTACCAGATGAGCAGAGTTCCTAATTACACAGTTAGTGTTTACCATCCAATTAGTTCTGCTGACTGATGCTGACACTGCTTGCACACTCAAAGTTAGCAGCTTTATAAACAGCTTGCTGAAATAGGGTCTGAAGCTGTTGAAATCTGTATTTAAGCAGGATTCAAAGTGCAGGCAATTGTTTCTGTACTAGTGCACATATCTACATTATTTTGCTTAGCTTTTTTTCCTTTGCATACCCTCCCATATAAAAATGCATATGGCAGGTTTCTAAGAACCTTTTCTGATCAGGTGTCCTAGGCATACAAAGTTATAAACCTCCATGCTGCAAACAAATAATGCAACAACCAAGCTCTAATTATTCTCCAGACCTGGTCAAAGAAGCTTGCATCAGTGTGGAACTTCTAAACAGGGAAGCTGAGATACATAAAGAAAATCTCTTTGTCTGGAAGCAGCAGTCCAGAAGACATCTTCAGTCCCTGTGAAACGAAGGCACTATCAGTTTGAATGGAGACTACCATGCCTCCAGGTGACTACGTTCGAAGACGGGGTTATACAGAGTCTTCACTTCTGAAGCTTCCCACAGAGGAGTGCATTGGGAGTCATCGTGCACCTTTCCAGTTTGACCGTCATGCTTTGGCCAGAATTTCGACTTCTCCAACTTTAAGGCGTCTAAGGATGGCCTCTGCCTCACAAGCACTGTCATTTCAGGACTGCTCTGACACAGCTCAGTTGGGGAATCAAAAGGAATACATTGGGTCTCTCCACCACATTTGTAAGAGTCCACCTCGGTGCACTACAGCTTCCTCATTGTTGTTGCCTTCTTGTGTCCATGCAAAGCTGCTGTCTTCCAAAGCCAAATCTGAGACAACTATAGCAGATCCAGAGGTTGCTGGCCCCAGATCAAAGCTGCCAAGCCAAAGAGATACTCTCAGCAACAGCAGTCCCAAGGAGACACTCCAAAACTCTTGGAGAGCCAACTCTGCCGTGCTGCTTAGTAGACACCCCAGCCCTACACCACAGGAGCATGTCAAGGTGAGAAGAATAAGATTATGCAACCTTCTTCTCAATCTCGCATATTCAGTGTTAGTCCATCATGCCCCAGAGCATAAACAAAACCACAGTTCTTAACCTGAACTGCAACCCAGCCCTAGTTCCTTGGATACAACAGGTCAACTTCTACATTCATCAGGAAGGGAGATTTTTTTTCCTTCTAAACGAGCAGAAGATGATAGTTACAGCCTTGTCTCTTGGTGATCAGGTTGGCCTAGTCTGCTCCTGCCCAAGGCCACTCTTTC